TTCATGTTTTAGGGTCATAAGGAATGTATTTATAGTGTTTCCATTGAAAACTAGCCGTTTATAGCCGTTGGAAAACTAGCCGTTAGAAACTAGCCGTTGGAAAAACTAGCCGTTGGAAACTAGCCATTGGAAAACTAGCCGGTTATAGTCGTTGGGATCTCATTTGAAAAACTAGCTGTTTTATAGTTGTTTATAGCCGTTGGGATCACTTTTGAAAAACTAGCCGTTTTATAGCCGTTGAGATCTGTCGCAGTGGTAATTGATTCCCAACTTGACAGCAAAAATATTGTTTCGTATTTTGGCTATAATTTGAGTTATACTAGTCGGATTGATGTGATCTTGGTCTCTTTGGAAAGATAGAAAAGAGATCTACAACTTTTATGAAGAACACAAAATCCAAATCAATCATCTTGGATACGAAAAATTGTATGGAAGGCAGTAGTAAATTTAAGCAATAAATTCTAAGTTCAAATGTGTTCTAGCTTGCTTCCAACCACTTTTTGTGAAAGATCTTGACTTGATAAATATGTTTTGAATTTATAAAATATGTCAAGTATCTTTTCCATGGATTTGAAAAACATGTTTGAAAAACATCTTGATTATGCAATTTGAAAAACATGTTTACTTTGAAAAAAAACTTTGAGCTCATGCAATGCAATCTATAATATACCCTCACATATATTTTAAGTCATAAAGATATATTCTAAATATGATTTTAGACTTAGCTTCATGTCTTGTATCTTGGATCTTTTCTTGAACTTGATGCTTTGACTTGTTGGATATGACATTGCTTGACACTTTGTTGGTTTTGATCATTTTTCACCATGGTTATGATATTGAGCTTCTCTTAGATGTTCTCCATGGTTCGTTGTCTTCGATTTTGGTGTTGCTCTTCTAATTATTTCTTGTTGCTCTTGATCCAATGATCTTGTCACTTTGATATGACATTATTCTTCTTGTGTGGCTACATCATACATCTTCAATATCCACATATGGTTGATGCTTTTTGCTCTTGATCAAAGCTCTTCTCTTTTTGTTGTTGCCACTTTGTTATCATCAAAACATACCTAGTATCTACAGAAAGGGGTAGACAAAAGAAGAGTATGCAAAATAACCTATCCCAATTTTCAAAAAAAAAAAAAAAGAACAACCTATATATATATATATATATATATATATATATATATATATATATATATATATATATATATATATATATATATATATATAAATTAAATGGAATGTCTAAGTCTGAATATTATCTTTAATGCATAGTTATTAATATCTTGTGATACACGATACGATTCATTCGATATGATACGATTCGCAAGTCCAACGATACGTATAGTAGGCTATATATATCAGAAAAGGAGTTTGTATCGAATGATACAATATTGCGTCTTACGATATGAAAATTAAATCAAAATTTATAATTTTTAATATAAAACAATTGAAATAAAGATTTGATTTTTGATTTAATATAAAAAAATTTAAAAACTTATTATTAATAAGGAAAGGAAAAGAAAGATATGATTTGTGATTTAAACTAAAAAATCAATCTGAAAAATCTGTACTAATAAAGAAAATAATTAAATAAATATTTTAAATCATTTCGATCTCTAAGGAAGAAAATTTCTTTTAGTCAAATGTCTTATCTAATTTATTTACATATGTAATTATATATTTTGTTATGTATATATATATTTTTATTTTTTAGGTTCACGATAGTGATCGTAATGATAATATTAATCTTAATAATTAATAATAGAAGAATAACTAATTTGCACTTTAGTTATTTATATATTTTGCTTATTGGATTCTTTTTGAAATATATTATATATTTTAAAATTATTTTTATTATATTTTTATATATTACGATTCGATACGATTTACAATACACGATACAAAAGCTCGATACATATTGTGATTCAATATCCTTGCTTTAATGACTTTCATTATAGAAGGGTTGAACTATGAAAACCATCATATTATTGGTTATAAATAGAGGTTGCTGACTGATTTGAAAAGTGGCTCCATGCTTTATGTTGTGGAAATTGGAAGGCAAGAAACAATAACTACTTCAGAACAATGTAAAGTCCTTGAAAAAGTGCAAGTTATGCTTGGCTAGAAAAATCTTTTACCTGTAAAAAAAAAAAAGAAAAGAAAAATCTTGTACCCCTCTCTGAACGCATCTTTTCCATTTTGGATAATCTGGATTTATTGTTAATTAATGCTTGCTAATGCTTTGAAGCCCAATTAACTTTATTGATGCTATACTCTCTTCAAACGTAGATACAGTTAGGGGTGTAAATGGGTTAAGCTAGTTAGATTTTGACTTAAATAAGTCAGATATGTATAAAATATTTTAGGTCTGCCTTGATCTATTAGCTTTGTGTTGATCCAAATTATAGGTCTGAAATGACTTATATTTAAAAAATAAAAGTCTTGGTCTAGACCTGCTAATTTGTTTAAGCCTCTTAGACATTTAATAATTAAAATAATATCACTTTATCATTCAAAATCATTTAAATAATAATTTTATTTAAAATAAATAATATTATATAGGCTGACTTGTAGGTTAATTTATAAACACGACATATGCAAAAAAGCATATGACCTGTTTTTTAAATAAGCTTTTTTAAAAGTCTAAACATGTTCTATTTTGACTATATATAATAGGTTAAGTCTGGCCTGATGAAGGATGGACCGTAAGTTCTTGTTAGGTCACTTATCCTATTTACACCCGTACATACAGTGCTAGGATACTTGAGCTAATTGTTAATACCTTGCTCATATTCTTGATCTCACTACACCAAAAGCGAGATTTAGCGGCGATTTTTTTAGATTCAGTGGCCAATTGAAAACAGACTCAAAAATGGTGACGTTAAATAATTTAGCGACGGTTTACTGAAATCGCCGGAATAACTGACGCAAAATATCAAACCGACACTGAATGTATATAAACTGCTAGGGGTGCTAAACGAGCCAGGAGCCTTACAGGGGCTTTTGGTTCGGCTCGTGAAGGCTTGAACTTACGTGTCTAAAATTGATTGTTGGACCCAGGCTTAGACTTATATAAAAGCTCGTTTAATAAAAAGGTCTCAGACTCCAATTCAAAAGCTCGGCCTTAGAGCCTCTCAGGCTTGCCTAACATTTTAATTTTTTATTTTTTTTATACTACTTGTTATGGCCCTCTCTCTCTCTCTCCTTAATCCATTCCATATCATTTTATTAATTAAACAGATTTTTGAATAATTTTATTTTATATTATGCTATTTGGATATACATTAAATTTATGAATATTTATAGAATTACTAGTGTCGTTGATTGTATATTTTGTTTGAATACATTTTTGTTGTCTTATTTTTTTTAAACAAGCTAAACCAGACTTTTATTTTTTGTAAATAAGACATGCCACAGGCTAAAATTATATTCATGACAGGTAACATGCTTGGCCAGGCTGACACATTTAAATACAGGCTTAACCTTTTAAGACCAAAGCTCGGCTCAGCTCGGCCTGTTAACACCCCTATAAACCGCCATCAATTACAAAAAATAATAAATCATATTTTAAGAATAGCGACGATTTAGAACCGCCGCTGAATCCTGTAATTAATTTTTTTTATATTTTTAATTAAATTTTGTGGTGGTGTCAATGAATATAAATTCTTTTTTTAAAATAAATATTTTAAACAGCCACTGAATTGTAAAATTCATTTAAATTATATAATTTGGCTCAAACTCATACAATGATTTCATTGATTATAAATACATTCATCGTCTATAATCAAATCTGTCATTATATCTTTAAAATATAAAAAAAGCTAAATACAATTATAAAATCAATTTAAAAAGTCTTAACATTGAAACTAAATATATGACAAAAACAAAGTACCTAAGTCTTTTACAAATTAATCATAAAAGTAATCACAATGTCAATACAACTACAAATGTTTAAATATAAAAAATCTACTATGGCTGATGAGCAGCAGAATGTGAAGAAGAAGGTTGAGCACGAGAATGTTGCTCCGCTTCCTGCATTAAAATTAAATAATATTTTTAGCACAAATACAAAAAAAATAAATTAAATACTTACAAAAGAAACAACAGCTTACTTGATCATCATTAATAGTAGCTAGTTCCTTGGATTCCACAGTTGGTGAATTCAGTTATAAAGTCTGGGTTGCATGGTGTTTCCAGCATTTTCATAATCAACTCTTCAGTTTCAGGGTAGTTCACTAGAAACTGGTCCTTATTCGGGCTCTCATTCAAGGAATCAGTTGGTGCTGGGAGACCTGCATCTGCATGGAACAATCTCTTACGTTCTAAGGGGACGTTTGGTGCAGGAGAAAAAAAAAATTATCCGAAAATCACGATTTCCAGAAAAATGATGAGAAAATAAATTTTCTGGGAATATTACCAAAAAGTTGTTTGGTAGACTAACATATTCCCGGGAATATTGAATTAATTTTGTTGATGCTGTGTTTAGTTGTATTAAATTTTTCCCTGTCATAGAAATCTTAAAATACCACCTTTTGGATGACATTCCTGGATGATTTTTTCAAAAAAAATTACACACAAAAGAAAATCCCGAAAAAATCAGATTCCCGGGAAAATTTTAAAAAACCTGTACCAAACGAGTGAATTTTCGGTACCACTTCCGTAGGTACCCCTTTTCCTCATTTAGAAAATAAAAAGGGTATAAAAGTAAATAAATAAAAAGTACAAGATACAAATGGTATTAAACTTTTCTTCTTTTGGAAATATGACGTACCGAATTGAATACCATGGTGGTATTAAAAAATTTTCCGTACTAAATGATGGATTCTTATTTACCCAACCAAAGAATCCCGAGAAAACAAAAAAATATCCTCCTACCAAACGGGCCCTAAATGTGTGCAAGTTTGCAATCAAAGGAAGCTTATCTTCTACCACTACCTTCTGTTTCTAGGAAGACATAATATAATAATTTTTTTTAAAAAAAATTACCTCACGAAGATACCAAAAAAAAATTTTTTTCCCCAAAAATAGGCTAATCCAAACATGCATTTAGCTTCCACTCGAATTAATTATACATATATTCTTTATAATTTTTAAATTTTTTCTTTTAATTTATATTTTACTTGAATTTAAAAATACCCATATAGGCACCAGGTACTTACAGAAGCTAACATATAAACTAAAAACAATGGGTTGGGTCCGATTGGACCTCACCTACCCATCAGGACCAGGTTATATATATGGGCAGGTTACCATCTTCCTTCTTTAATAGGTTAATTAGGCTAGTTTTTATAGGCAAAAGAAACCAGGTTGTTATAACTTAACACCTGTTCAGAATCAAATCACCAACAGTAGAATAAAAAGCACAAAAAATGGTTCTAGAAATATGTAGTGGTGAAAGTAGTTTAACTAACTTTGAAACTATGCAACTGCAACTGTAACTAACTTCTAACTGAAACACTAACATAATATGTATGATATGCAACATTCAACAGTAAAGTAGACATAGGCGAGTTTGATATCCATAATACTCTAATATTCCTCCCTCCTCAAGCTTAAGGTCGATGGAGCAATTGGAAGTGGTTCAAGACTTTTGAGTTTGTCACGTAAGTCACAAAATCTATTAGTAGAGAGAGGCTTGGTGACGATCAAGCAGCCTCTTGTCAAGAACCTTTTCCTGAACAAAAATCAAATTCAGTTCCTGAAAGGCTAAAGAGATTAAATCAGATGTAACAGAATTCCTGATTATCAGCTAGTTAGTTTATAAGTTAGTTAAGCCTTAGTTGAGTGCTATATATAGCTATGTATCATCACTGTTGTATCATTATTCATTTCTTCAGTTTTCACTTTCATAACTCTTCTGTTGATTCTTTCTGCTTCCTTTCTTTCATTACTCTTAATTCTGATACCTTACATGGTATCAGAGCTTCCTTTTTCAATCCATGGAACCTAATGCTTCTGCTGCTGAGTCTCAACCTGCGCAAAATACAGTGGAAAGCAACAATACAACGTTGCAATCTACACTTCAGACCTTCTCTAATCCAGTATCGTTCAAGCTGGATGAAGAAAACTTTCTTCCTTGGAAACAGCAGGCTATGGCAACCATAAGAGGATTCAATCTTCAAAGATTCATCACCAGTGATGCTGATCAATCAACTCAACAAGATCAGTTGTTGATGTCATGGCTTCTTGCTTCCATGTCTGAGTCCCTGCATACAAGAATGGTTGGTTGCCAATCTTCTTATCAAGTTTGGATCAAGCTAGAGGAATTCTTTACCTCTCAAACTCGATCCAAGGTAAAACAATTGAAAATTCAACTGAAGAATAGCAAGAAAGATTCTACAGTTTCAAGCTATTTGTTACAAATCAAGAAAATCGTGGATTCACTAGCAGCCACAGGTGCTGCAATTGCATAAGAAGATCACATAGATGCAATTCTTGATGGCCTTGGTGAAGAGTATGATGCATTCATCACATCTGTCATCTCAAGGTCAGATCCATATACAGTGAGTGAGATAGAGGCTCTTCTTATGGCTCAAGAAGAACGCCTAGAAAAGCATAGAAAGAATGAAGTTGGTATGCTGCAGTTCAACTTCACACAAGTGAACCTGACTCATATGAACAGAGGAAGATCCTATGACTCTACTGCTGGTGGAAGAAGCCCTCATTACTTCAACAGAGGGAGTCGTTTTAACAATTTCAATAGAGGAAGATATGGCAGATATGGAGGAGGTAGATCTTATCCACAGCACCAACAATCTGGAAGAATTCAATGTCAGTTATGTGGTAAGTCAGGTCACATGGCTTGGGAGTGTTACAATAGATACAATCAAGCACTCCCTAATCCCTTCAACAACAGAACTGGATACAATCAAGAACGTGGATACAGTCAAGAATCATCACATCCACAGATGCAAGCCAATGTTGCAGTAGCTGGAAACAACTCTTTGATTAGACATAACTCATCTAGCAGTCAAGATGACAACAACTCAGAATTTTTTTCTGTTTTTGATCCAACATGGTACCCTGATTCAGGAGCTTCTAATCACTTCACTCCTGATGGTTCTAATCTACAATCAAAGACTTCTTACAAAGGACAAGATAAAGTTCGCATAGGTAATGGATCAGGTATGAAAATTTAGCATGTTGGTAATTCCACCTTACATTCATCATCCAACTCTTTATCATTTACCTTACCAAATATCCTTCATGTTCCTGGTCTTTCAAAGAATCTCTTAAGTGTGTCACAGCTTGCCAAAGATAATCATGTTTTCTTTGAGTTCCATGCTAACCATTGCTTTGTGAAATCTCAGGCTACCAAGGAGATAGTTCTCCAAGGAAGACTTAAAGATGGTCTTTATGCCTTTGAAGGAACACATGTAATAAAGCCTGTGAAGCATTCAGCCTATCAAGTGCAAACAGAAGCCAACTCCACACAAAATAAATGCCTTTCTGATCCTGTTTTAGAACTGTGGCATGGTAGACTAGGTCACTCTTCATTCACAACTGTAAAGTCTATTCTTTCCCATTGTAAAATACCCTTCAATAATAGGAAAGTCCCTTTGTGTTGTGCTTGTTGTATGGGAAAGATGCATCAGCTTCCTTTTACTCTTTCCAATATTGTATACCATACTCCTCTTCAATTAGTTTACATGGATATTTGGGGTCCATCCCCTATAGACAGCACCAATGGTTCCAAATATTACATTTGTTTTGTTGATGCTTTTAGCAAGTACACCTGGCTATATCCCATGAAAACCAGATCCCAAGTTCAAACCATTTTCTCTCATTTCAAAACCATGGCAGAACTTCAACTTAATACTAAAATCAACTGCTTACAAACTGATAATGCAAAGGAATACCTTGCCTTAAAACCTTTTCTTCAAACTCATGGTATTATTCATCGACTCACATGTCCTTATATTCATCAACAAAATGGCACTCCCGAAAGGAAGCATCGTCATATTGTTGAAATGGGGTTTATCCATGTTAGCAGCATCTCATCTCCCAAAGAAATTTTGGGAAGATGCCTTCATCACAGCTTCTGTCATCATCAATATGCTGTCATCATCTAGTCTCAAGAACACATCCCCACGTCAATTACTTTTCAATAAAGAACCTGATTACTCTTTCCTACGCACCTCTAGTTGTCGTTGCTATCCTTATTTAAGGCCATACAATGCTCACAAAATGGACTACAGGTCAGCACCTTCCACCTTTTTGGGCTATAATCCAGCATATAAAGGATATAAGTGTCTTACACCATCAGGTAAGGTCATTTTCTCTCGACATGTCCTATTCGATGAACAATTTCCCTTTAATCATCCACCATATACTGTCATCCCTACTGCCTCTCCATCCACTCCAACCACAGTGCCATTTATACCCACCATTGTACCTTCCAACATTACCCATACCGAAAATATTACACATGTTGAATTGTCAAATCAGTCCATTACTCATAACAATGTATCACCTGCTATTTCAGATACTAACCTTAATTGTAGGTCTTTGTCTCCTTCTCCTGTTACATCTACTAGTTCTACTTCTTCACAGAACCACCATCCGATGGTCACTAGAGCCAAAGCAGGAATTTTCAAGCCACGGCTATTCACTGCCTCATTAGAGCCCACCTCTGTTGCTCAGGCCTTGGCTGATCCCCAATGGCTTCATGCAATGCAAGAGGAACACAATGCTCTTATTCGAAACAACACTTGGGAGCTTGTTTCATTGCCTCCTGACAGAAAACCCATTGGCTGTAAATGGGTCTTTCGGGTGAAATATAATCCAGATGGCTCATTACTCAAACACAAGGCACGCCTTGTAGCCAAAGGATTCCACCAACGTGAAGGCATAGATTATACTGAGACCTTTAGTCCTGTTGTTAAACCAGCTACTATCCGCATTATTCTAACACTTGCACTCTGCAATGGTTGGCACATACGTCAGCTGGATGTCAATAATGTGTTTCTCAATGGTGATCTAGCTGAGGAGGTGTTCATGTCTCAACCTCCTGGTTTTGCTGTTGTTGACACTTCTTTGGTCTGTCGATTAGGGAAGGCTCTTTATGGACTCAAACAAGCCCCTAGAGCTTGGTTTGAGAAGCTCACCACTACTCTCATACGACTTGGATTCACTGCCACTAAATGTGATTCGTCACTTCTTGTCTCCATCACTCCTCTAGCTACCACTTATGTGTTAGTCTATGTAGATGACATCCTAATTACAGGATCCTCTGCATCTACATTTCATCACTTATTACGTCTCTCAACACTGTGTTTGCACTCAAGGATCTAGGAAACATTCACTATTTTCTTGGCATTGAGGCAAAGCAGTCATCTATCGGTGTCCTTCATCTCACTCAATCGAAGTATGTTAGGGATCTCTTAACCAAGGCAGGCATGACAGATTGCAAGTCCCTGCCCACTCCTATGGTGTCTGGTTTAAAGCTTTCTGCTAAAGATGGTATACCTTTCCATGACCCTTCATTGTATCGATCCATTGTAGGAGCTCTCCAATATGCCACTGTCACACGTCCTGACATCTCTTTTTCTGTAAACAAAGTCTGTCAGTTCATGCAGTCTCCCCTTGATAGTCATTGGCAAGCTGTAAAAAGGATTCTCAAGTATCTCAGTGGCACTCGGCATCTAGGATTAACTATCTCTCCTTCCTCACAACTTCGTCTTCAAGCTTACTGTGATTCAGATTCGGGTTCTGACATGGATGATAGACGCTTCACTTCTGGTTTTTGCGTCTTTCTTGGGGGGAATTTGGTGTCATGGTCTTGCAAGAAACAACCGGTTGTAAGTAGATCAAGTACCGAAGCTGAGTATAGGTGTTTAGCAGCAACACTTGCTGAACTTATGCGGATTAAGTCACTGTTGTTCGAACTCAAAGTCAACTTGCAACATACTCCCAACATCTTCTGTGATAATTTGAGTGTTGTTCTTCTCACAGCCAATCCTTTGTTTCATTCACGAACAAAACATTTTGAATTGGATTTGCATTTTGTCAGGGAAAAAGTAATAGACAAGTCAATTACTATTCATCATGTCCCTTCATCTGATCAGATAGCAGATGGACTCACAAAGGCAGTGGCACGTTCAAAGTTTGCAGAATTTATAGACAAGCTCAGTCTTCGATCTTCTAATCCTGAGCTTGTGGGGGAATGAAAGGCTAAAGAGATTAAATCAGATGTAACAGAATTCCTGATTATCAGCTAGTTAGTTTATAAGTTAGTTAAGCCTTAGTTGAGTGCTATATATAGCTATGTATCATCACTGTTGTATCATTATTCATTTCTTCAGTTTTCACTTTCATAACTCTTCTGTTGATTCTTTCTGCTTCCTTTCTTTCATTACTCTTAATTCTGATACCTTACAGTTCCATATGATTTGTCCTAGAATACAGGACAAGGTTATGTGAGAGAGCAACAATATTGAGATTGACACTAAATCATTGTATTTTCCAATTTTAAGAACAATATAATGTTACCAATGTTACATGTTCTTTTTTTTTCCCCACTTATCTAAAAGTTTAATTATGAAACAAAATTTTAGGTTCACCGTGATTGGAGTTGAGGACAAATCTATCTAACATGTGCTACCATTGTGTCTTTGTTGCAGGGAAAAATGTTTCACCATATTAGACAAGGACTGGGTTTAAGCGTGCTAGCTTTGATGTCAATGATGACAGGGAAAAATGGTTCTAGAAATATTCATTAACTTCCATTTGTAAGTTAATGACGAATGTATTCACCTTATTGATCACAACGACAATAGGCAGTCGCTTCTGGATAGCATGGCGTATTGCCCTCTCAGTGTTAACCTACAAATCACAAGAAACTAAAAACTAGGTAACTAGTATTATACCCGGGAGTAGATAGAAATAATCTAAAAACAATTAATTAAATAAAGTTGAAATTAAACCTAAATAAGAGTTCTATCCGTGTTCAACTGGAGTTTGACCAATACCCAAAAGTCTAAACAAGAATAAGGATCATGAGCAACATAACAGAACCTGAAAAGAGTTACCACTCACCATTACTCAGCAGCATCCACAATCAAGACAGCACCATCTGCAAGCCTCAAAGCAGCAAGCATTTCATCAGAGAAGTACAAAAAAAAAATTAAAGAATAATATTTTTAGCACAAATACAAAAAAAAAAAAAAATTACAGAAAGAAATAACAACTTACTTGATCATGATAGATAATTCAACAGATATAGGTAGATCTACCTGAACATTCTTACGAGATGAGATGGATGAATTATAGAGTCTTATCCTCCTTTTTCAGGAACACCCTCACTCGCCCTCTTCGCATGAAATCAAAGAGGGTAAGCCTTGTCTATATCTGTGGTTATCAATAAAGTTAAATAAATACATTTTCGCTAATCAAGTCCACAAACAAACATTTGATAGTATCATTAGTGTTAAATAAAAAATCCAAATTTAAAACCCACAGTAATTAACAAACCTCAATTGCAAAAGGAAGTTTAAGATAACTGCAGCAACCAATGACGACAAGTTTAGGAAGTTGAGTTCTCACTTTTGCATTTCTAGTTTCAGGATCCATTTGCTTTAGGCTTCCAACCAATGACAACATATGAGAGCACACATGACATTTGACAATATCCTCGGTCAAAACCTATAGGTATTTTATCAAAAGATCACCATTAATCGTAATTTAAACAAAAGGACTGGTCCTAAATTATAATAATTTTAGCATAAAGTTTTATTTATCCTTAGTAGTGAATTGAGAGGAATAAAGCATTTACACAAATCATCTCTAATGGATTTTTGTTTGTATATTACCATCAAATATATTGCTTTACATCAATTTCAGAACTGGGAGTGAGTTAAGCTAATCAATCTTTTCAAGTTTCTTATTTCTTTTTTTTTCCCTGTGCTGGATCTTGTTGGGATTATTTTAATTTTAAAATTGTAAAAATAAAATAAAATTGGCATATATGAAATTTCATCTCTATCTCTCTGGCTATTAGTTATATGTATGGTAACTCCCTTTGTTTTCTTTGATCCCCTAGAAGAGCAAATAAGTCCCATATACCACAGAACGAAGGTTTCATTTACTGCTTTTTTGTTGCTTTCATGGCCTTCTTTTTTTGTGAAGGCATATTCATCTGAGGCCTCTGGTGTAAGCTGTAAAACTTTCCATGAAATGTTCTTTCAGATTCTTATATTGTATTTGATATCCAGTTCAGGTCTTTGGGATTGGAATTATGCCATAACTGTAGTCTGTTGACTATTATAGGGCACACTACACTGTGGTTTTGAAGTATATTGAGGTTGATAAGGATGTTCTACAGCTTCCCTCAGATATATTTGATTCTGGAAATGGGAAGGGGACAGTAATAGATAGTGCAACAACCTTGGCTTATTTTCCAAGCATAGTTTATGACGAACTAATGACGAAGGTAAGTGTATCTGTTAAGATTAATTGAATCAAAATTTCCACTTTAGTACTTATGATTGTTCTTTATGATAGGTTTTGGCTCGGCATCCTGGATTGAAACTATATCTCGTTGAACAACAATTTACTTGTTTTCAGTTTACTGGGAAGTACGAAACTTATCTTGGTGACTTTCTTTTATTGGAAATTTACATTTCTCTGTTATATTTAATTAGTATTGTTCGCTAATATTAATGTGTGATATCGTATTTGTTTGACTTGTCATTGTTTTTTAATTGACTTAGGATATCACATAATTTATCAGAGATACTAAAGGTTTATTTTCTTGGTTGTTTAGCCCATAGGGTATGGTGACAACATCAGATTTCCGTTTAAATATATCTGTACAAATATCCTAGCTATTGCTGTTCTAATTATATTAGTAATCCAATATTCTGAAACCTGCAACGGGAAAAAGATTTTAATAAAAGGACACTCGCCAACCGTCTTTGCCATTGTGCTCCTCAAAAAACAGAGTACATTTGAAGAGACATTTCCTCGAAAATGTTTGATACATAACTAGTAATTAAAAGCAAAAAAAAACTGGTGCCACAAAATTCAGTAAAAGCAATCCGTACATAACTTGGCAACAATACAAAAAAAAGTGCAATCATGAAAAGTAAGGTAAACAACAAAGTAACAAAAAAAATCTTTCACTGTTGGGAAGTAGCTATTACCTTAGCACTGGAAATTAACTGTCTCCTAATTTGAATATCAGCAACAAGAGCCGAGTATGTGACTTCAAAACAAGCCTCACACTGTATGTCAATAATCCACATGTTAATATTGAGTTCCTTTTTATTTAATTTTTAGAACATTTAAAAAAGTCAAGACTGAAGAGCAAACCTTAATAGCTGCTTTAACCATAGGCTGCTTCAATCTAAATGACAACTTTGTTGAAAAATCAATCGAAATAATATCTACCTGCAATTATTCTCAACATCAGCATTTAAAACATATATAAAATTGAACTTTAATGAACATCATATAAGAAACTTAACGAACCTCCATTATCTCACATGCCAGATCAAATGCAATTTGATTCAAAGGCTTCACAGCCACCAAATCGTAGGTCTTCAAAATCGGGTTACCAGAATTGAGTGCTTGAGCCTGCGAGGGGTTATCTCAAAATCCCTCCATGCCTAGAGATATTGAAAAAAAAATGAGCAAAATCTAAAACGCACACACAATTTCAAAATGACATCAGGGTTTCAAATTCAACGAAATAACAAAAGAAAAAGAAATTTTTTTTTATTTGTTTGGGAACAAAGAAAGTAATGAAAAACTAACCTGAAGAAAATTCACATTTGCAAAAAAGAAAGTTCCTACAAAAAACTAATCTGAAGATGTGAAGGAGAGAGAGAAAAAAGAGAGAGATCTCTCCGATCTACTTCCTCAACATCTGCAGAGATTGCATAAGTATTCCCTCAACTGAAGAAAGGGTTGAGCATGTTTCATGCGTTTAACATTTTTTTCCCCATTACCATTGTACAGTCAGATGCGATCTCAACATGCCTTATCAAGATATGAAAGGCACTCAAATTATTATTATTATTATTTTAGTAATAAGGTACTCAAATTATTAAACTTTAGGAGATGTTTGCTTTAAGTTTTTTAAATACTTCTCCATGTATTTGATTTTAGCAAAGTATGTAGTCTATATTTGGTAAAAAGATTTGAAACATTTCCCCATCTTTGCTATTTGCATGGCTCTTTATAATTGCTTGTTAAAATTGAAGTTGCTTGTTAAAATTGAAGCCAAGTCACTACTAAGAAAGACAATTTAAAGGTAGTATTTTGTATTTAACTGAGTAAATATTTCAACATATGTTCAAACTTTAAACAAATATCCAACTGGAATCGTTACTTTAAAGTAATTTACATTCAAAAAATTAAAAAAAAAGTATTTTAGTAATTGTAACTCATTTTTCCATTGATATTTTAACTTAAACTAAACATAGACTTTATAATATTTACCAAATTTTTCCGGTAAAATTTCTTCCAACCAAACAACTTTTTTTACATTTTCCTACCAAATTCACTTTCCAACCATTTTCCTAATAATTATATTTCCCTAGTGTTATGGACCCGTATAATGGGTCCATTAAGTAGCAAGTCCAACAAGGGGCAATCCAAGATATGGATTGATGCTAATAAAGGATAGATATCCCATCAAGGATACTAATCCTAATGCGACAGCATAGCTATCAAGCCTGAGCCCTCACCGTAGGAACCAAATGCCCATCCACACTACCTACAGGTAACCTCTATAAATACAAAGGCAAACCCTAAAGGTACAGACATTCTCTCTCTCTTATGGTTATGTTGTCACTGTGCGCGCACACACCCCATTGGCTAACGCCGTTATAGTATTCTGTGCACAGTGATCTGCTTGCCTCAAGGGTATCTCCTTCATAGATACCTTGGAGAGGGCACCAGATCCAACATTAACGTACTAGCCTAATTGGGCTAGACATCTCTGTCTCAAGGACAGAACATTGGCGCCGTCTGTGGAGATTCTTTTCTTTGAATCTGAAGTTCCCACCGAATCTGACAAGGGATGGCAATCCAGACGAGGAGCAGTAGCCAGCAGCCACCCCCAAACCAGAATCAACCGTTGGATCCAGTCATTGAGGAGATAAATCAGCCTCACAACCAGATCGGAAACAACGTGGATTACGACCACGTCCAGGTCGAAGACGATGTTTCAGACACCGCTTCGACGCCGGTGCGTCGAAATTGGGGGGCTGCGGCGAACGTAGCTCCAATAAGAAGCAACCCTGCCCAGCATCCTGGCAACCTGGCTGCGCGCATTGCTCAATCGGCTGATCCGGATACTCGGTTGGCCAACAACACGTTCGCCGCAATCCTGGAGCGAATAGCAGCGCTGGAAACCCGTACTAACTTGCAATGGCAACAAGATTTCAGGGCTATTCGGGAGGAAAATAATAGAGGGATGCAAGACCTGGGATGCAAGACCTGGAGCGGCGATTAACACGACGGACTACGCCAGGAATAGCCAATGTTGAAGGCCAACCTGCCAATGGTCGAGAAGGACCTAGGAACTCGGTTCAGTCATACCAAGTTCCTCATGCAGAAAACCCTGATAACCTGGTGAACCAGGGATACCAGGTCGCTGATGGTCAAACTGCACAAAACCATCAGGCACATGCTGACGGTCAGGAGGACCGGGTTAGAGCTCAGTATCAACAGGATCCTCAAAACATCCGAGGGCGAGTAGAACCTGGCGGATATAGAAGGAAGTACAGCAGGGGGCAGTACAATAACAACCCATTCACAACTGAAATATTAAACGTTGTCTTCCCAGAGGACTTTGACTCGGCACGCCTGCCGAAATATGATGGGAGCCAGGATCCGCAGGTGCACATAGATGCCTTTGACACGAACATGTACATTCGGGGAATTGATGAACCTCTCATATCCCGAATATTTGCTATAACACTAACTGGGGCAGCACAGGCGTGGTTCTCAACCCTGCCTGCTAATTCCATCGGATCCTTTGAGGAATTCGGACAGAAGTTCCTATTGAACTTTGCAACCAGCAAGAAGCATCCAAAGTCCGAGTTCACTCTTGGAAAGATACGACAGCAACCTGGAGAAACCCTCCAAAAATACCTTAACCGGTTCAAGGACGCTGCATTGCAGGTCCCAGGGTTGCAAGAGAATGTCCACGTCCACCTCATTGTGGCAGGTCTGGATAGTGCATCCAGACTCGCCAAGTCGGTCTATAAGGACCCAGTAAGGACGTTGGAGGAATTTAGAACTCGTTCGAAGAAATATCTTGAACTAGAACAAATGGAGATTGCAAATGCGCAATCTGATGAAGGCAAAAGAGCAAGCCCAAGAAGGAGGAGCCCACCCCCAAAGGGAAAGGAACGAGTTGACAACAAGAAGAAAGATCAATGCCAACGAATCCCGGACATGAGGGACCGCATTGGGAGTTATGACAAGTATACACCTTTGAATGCGTTGCGTTCTCAAATCTGGAGAGAAGTAGCCACGACGGAGATGAAAAAGACGGAGAGACCTCGTCCCATATTTGACAGAGGAGGATTAGATAAGTCCAAATACTGCGTCTTTCATGATGGGCCAGGTCACACAACTGTCAGTGCTGGGATCACCGAGATGCGGTGGAGAAGTTTGTAAGAGATGGTAGATTACGTCAATACGTAATAAAAACCCAAGGTTCCAGAAACAATAAAAGGAAGTTGGGAAACAGGAATCGAAGCAAAAGTCTCGTTCCTGAAAAGAAGAACAAACAGGATAAGAATCAGAAAAATGACTCCAACTATGACGAATTCCCAGAAGTGGAGTTTGATTGTAATGTAATTAGTGGAGCCTTGGGGGGAGGAGGAGATACTGTAAGTGCTAGAAGAAAATACCTGAAATAGGTACTCTCTATTCGAGATCGTCCCATGTTCAAAGAAGACCCAACCAAGCCAGATCCACCTCTTTTATACTTTACCAAAGAGGACATGCGCGGGGTGTTGCCGGGTCATGTTGACGGACTGGTCATTGCGGGGACCCTAGTGAACTGCCGGGTTAGGAAGATTTTCGTGGATGCAGGGAGTTGTGCCGACATCATACTCTGGGATGCTTTTAAAAAGATGAACCTGGATAAAGAGGACCTCAAACCTTGCAAAACAACGCTGGTAGCCTTTAATGGAGAGCATACGCCTCCTAAAGGCTACATTGATCTCAGGTTAACCCTGGGAGTAAAAGAAGCGTTCAGATCAGAACGGGTTAGGTTCATAATGGCCGACTTCCCTTCAGAATATAATATAATCCTGGGAAGACCGACCATACATCAGTGGGACATGTTGGTTTCTACAAAACACCAGAAGATAAGAATGGTGAGCAATAAGAATGAAATAATCATTGTTTGTGGAGATCAGAAGAAATCCAGGGGCTGCTACTTTGATACTATCAAAGAAAATGAAGGGGGACGTTCGAGCCCACCCCGAATTCACTCGGGGGATAAAACCGGTAGGAATCTAATTCCTCAGCAATCTAAGAAGCCGGTCAACATGGTTGAACTCGACATGAGAGAAGAAATAATGCCGAGACCCGAACCTGATGGAGAGCTTGAGGATCTCACGCTGAGGAAAGAGCCTGGTCAGTTTACCCGCATTGGTAAGGCCATAGACCCCCAGATTAAGCAAATTTTGGCTGACTTTCTTAAAAGCAACACGGATGTATTTGCATGGAAGTCGTCAGAGATCCCTGGCATCGACCCCGCATTCTGTTGTCACAAATTGGCAGCTTATCCAGGGTCCAAGCCAGTTTCTCAGAAGAAAAGAAAACTGGGACCTGAAAGGAAACAAATTCCACAAGAACACGTTAAAGAACTCTTAGATGATGGGTTCATTCGGGAGATACAATACACGACATGGCTAGCCAATGTGGTGATGGTGAAAAAACCAAATGAGAAATGGAGAATCTGTACTGATTACACAGATTTAAACAAAGTCTGCCCAAAGGATGCTTATCCTATGCCTAACATAGATCAGCTGGTAGATAACTCGGCTGGATTTCGTCTGTTGTCTTTCATGGATGCCTATTCGGGATACAACCAGATCCCAATGTACTCGGCGGATCAAGAAAAAACGGCCTTTATTGCTGAAAAGGCCAACTATTGCTACAATGTGATGCCATTTGGACTTAAAAACTCAGGGGCAACTTACTAGAGGATGATGAATAAGGTCTTCGAAGATCAGCTGGGCAAAAATGTAGAAGTATACATAGATGATATGATTGTGAAGTCATTTGATATGATGAATCATGTTCAGGATCTTGAGCAAACGTTTCAAAAGCTCAGGAAGTATCGCATCCGCCTCAACCCGGTAAAGTGCGCGTTCGGGGTAGCAGCTGGAAAATTTCTGGGTTTCATGCTAACCCACAGAGGAATTGAGGCAAACCCGGATAAATGCAAGGCGGTGCTTGACATGAAAGCACCCCAAAGCAAAAAGGAGGTCCAACAGCTGACCGGACGATTAGCTGCGCTAACCCGGTTTCTTCCAAAATCGGCTGAAAATGCCCTCCCATTCTTTAAACTTTTAAAGAAAGAAGCAACTGACGGATGGAACCCGGCATGTGAAGCCGCGTTTGAAAAGATAAAGAAATGTTTATCAACTCCACCGATCCTCTCAAAGCCAAACACAGGAGATGTTTTAATTCTGTATTTGGCAGTAGGGGAGGAAGCAATAAGCGTTGTACTGATCAAGGAAACTAACGAAGGCCAGGAGCCAATTTACTTTGTCAGTAGAGCCTTACAAGGTGCAGAGGTCAGGTATCAAAAGCTAGAGAAGGTGGCTTTTGCTTTACTGGTCACGGCTAGAAGGTTGCGGCCGTATTTCCAAGGCCATCAAATCATCGTCAGGACTAACCAGCCTATTCGACAGGTGTTGCACAAACCGGACCTGGCAGGAAGAATGACTAACTGGGCAATAGAACTCAGTGAATATGACATAACGTATGAAAGCCGGAAAGCAATCAAAGCACAAGCCTTAGCTGACTTCATAATGGAATTGACACCACAGAACTCGGAACACGAGGAACACGGGGATGCATGGAAGGTCTACGTAGATGGATCTTCCAACAATAGAGGAAGTGGGGCTGGAATTATATTAGAAAGCCCAGAAGGAGTAACCATAGAGCATTCTCTGAACTTGGGATTCCCAACTTCCAATAATCAAGCTGAATACGAAGCTCTAATAGCTGGTTTGATCCAGGCTAAAGAACACGGAGCTAGGAAAGTGCAAATGTTCAGCGACTCACAGCTGGTAATCTCGCAGATAGAAGGAAAGTACCAAGCCAAAGGTCCTTTACTGATGAAGTACCTGAGTCGAGTTCAGGAAATTATGGCCGACTTTGATGAGGTTCGGGTTGCTCACATCCCACGAGGGGAGAATAGCCGAGCTGACATCTTGTCGAAGTTAGCCAGTACCAAAAATCTGGGTAATCACAGAACCGTGGTTCAGCAAAGTATAACAACGCCGAGTTGCGTGATGGTAGTAACCTCTGTAAACGACTGGAGGAAACCTCTGGTCGATTATCTGGAGAAAGGGATACTGCCAGAGGATCGCCTGGAAGCTAGGAAGCTGGTCCGAGATGCGACACAATATGCAATCGTGAATGACCAGCTATTCAGAAAGGGTTTGCATAACCCCATGCTAAAATCCTTGAACTCGGAAGGATCAGAGTATGTCCTTGCCGAGATCCATGAAGGAATAAACGGGCATCACATGGGTGGCAAAGCCTTGGCCAGAAAGGCCCTCAGAGCTGGTTATTACTGGCCGACGATGGGGGCAGATTCTAAAGAACATGTCAAGAAATGTGATAGCTGTCAGAAGCATGGCAAGTTAATCCTTTCACCACCGGAAGAACTGAAATCCATCTCGGCCCCTTGGCCCTTCTTCAAATGGGGAATGGATTTGCTAGGACCTTTTAAAGCTGCTGAAGGACAACTCAAGTGGTTGATCGTGGCTGTGGATTACTTCACAAAGTGAATAGAAGCAGAACCAGTCACCACAATCACCTCGGCTAAAGTGCAAAGGTTCTTTGAACGAAATATTGTTTCGAGATTCGGAATCCCAGCCGAGGTGGTTATTGATAACGGAACGCAGTTTGCTGATAAGAAATTCCAGCAGCTAATGAAAGACCTACACATCACACATCGTTTCGCATCTGTGGAACACCCACAATCGAATGGGCAAGCCGAAGCGGCCAACAAAGTGATTGTGGAAGGTCTCAGAAAACGAATGTTTGCTGCAAAAGAAAGCTGGGTTCACCAGCTATACTTTGTCTTGTGGGGTTACAAAACTAGCACCCAAACTGCAACTGGAGAAACCCCTTACAGACTAACGTATGGATGTGAAGCCTTGATTCCGGTAGAGATTGGAGAACCCTCATGGAGAAGACTGAATAGTCTTGAACAAGGTGAACAACAGAACAATAGAATGCTTATTGAAGAATTAGACCTTGTGGATGAAGTTAGGGTCATTGCTCACTGCCAGAATATGATGGCCAAACAACAGACTGCAGCAAAGTATAATAAGAAAGTGAGACCAAGGAATTTTGAAAAGAATGACTTGGTACTCAGGAGAGCAGATATTGGCAACAAGAATGCCAGAGATGGAAAGCTAGCTGCAAATTGGGAAGGACCTTACCGAGTTAGAGAAAAACTCGGAAAATGAGCTTACATCTTGGAGACAGTTGAAGGCAAAGAAGTTAAGCGGACCTGGAATGCAGATAAGCTGAAGACATACTACAGCTAAATCTGCACTCCTCCGCTTCAATATTTGAAAATTGCATTTTGATTTAATTTCTTCCCTCTACTAGGGATTTGACTAAAGCCGAATATGCCAGCAAATTCATGTAATTCGCAATTTGATATCAATAAATGAGGAAATTTTCTTTTTAAAAGATTTATCCTTGTCTATCTTTGATATATCAATATCAAATCCGAGGTACAAATACAATTTTCCATAGTGACTCTGATCAAGTCAAAATGTCACTATTTTGGTCATGATACCAAAAAGGGGCAGATGGCATTATTGTTTTTACCTTAGATAAATTGAGTTATGAAATTCAAATTCAATTAAATGGCTAAGTCAAAAGACAAGGTCCATTACATATGCAAGCTTACCAGAATGAGTAAGTTAAACAAACATGCGTCATCGAATTGACATAAAGCGGAATCCGTAAGATGCTTTGACCTCGGCCAGGTCATGAATTAAAAACTCGTATGATGCACGAGTTTACAACAACAAATTGGGATGAAGATTTCACCCAATAAGTATTGAAAAATAATGCAACCTCGGTATATCACTCATCAAGTACGAGGGTGAAGTATATCTAAATAACTCGGATTTGAATCTCAGCAACTTAGGAATTCCAAAAGCTTTCGACAAATCCGGGTATGAAGGGGAATGCTACCTCGTAAAGGGGCTTATGCGTATGCCAAGAATGGTTAAGTCATATCATTCGATAAAGCAAAAAAGAGTTGCCTAATCAAAAAAGCAAAAGCATTACTGCAACGACATTGCTGAATTCTGACAAATCAACAACCTAGATAAATGCATCTACAGTGAATTCGGAATTAGGAGATGCAAAACGACATACCATAAGGCAAGATATTCAACGCGAAATTGTATGTCTAGGAAACAAAATTAAAACCGGGATAAAACCAGCAATATTTAGGATAAATCAAAAAGGGACCCAAAGGATCCCAACAAGTTACAAATCCAACTGGCATTTCGGCCCTTCATTTTGTCGGGCTGGCAGGATGATCTTCTAGCACCACAACCTCCTTGCCGGATTGGTTGGTCAATTCAACTTCCTTTGCGAGTTGGTTGGTAGCCTCATCACCATTCTCGACGGCAACAACTTTTTCGGATTGTGAAGCCAAAACACGGGAAGGAGAGGCGACAGCTGGAAAAATGATTCGACCATCAACAACATAGGCACGAGGGCTTAGGCCAACCACATTCAAAAGCAAATCTAGGTTCAGTGGGCCCTGGGCCCTGGCTTCCTTCAATTTTTCCTGCGTTAACTTCATTTCCCCCCTGCCTTCTCATACGTGATTTTGAAATCTCTCAAACTCTTGCTGTTGCAGGCATGGAGATCGATCCAACAAAAATTCCATGCCAGCAACTTTTCAAAGTGGACTCGGCCAACGAGTCACATCCTTGCTCGACAAGCTTAGAACTCAGATAGACGCAAGAGTAACAGGGGACACCTCCTGAGACAGAGGAAGGATAAGACAAAGAACGGATGTTGGAACGTGAACCCGAAGTGGTCATGGGCGGGAAAGAAAGCAAATCCCCAGGTTGAGAAGACAGAACTGAAGGACTATTTTTTATGAGACACTTATCCCGGGAAGAGCAACCTCTACCCCGGTGAGACCCTAACTCCTTATTCGACACCCTGGCCCTTCGCCGAGATCTACCACCACGGCAGCCTCGAAG